TTTTTTTTTTTTTGAAAAACTGCGCACGAAGACGCGTGTGACCGGCGCACTCTCGAGTGTCGTCGCACTTCCGCACGCTTTTCCCAACTTTGGGTTTCCCACGCGTGATGTCGCCACCGAAATCTGTGAGTCGTCGTGAACTTCGATCGAAATAGCTGGGCTCGGTGACGTTATCCATCACGAGACACGGAAACGCGGCGCGCCTGAGCATCAGCTACAAAATACTTTCGCGTATAGCTGCTCCGCGGCGGTCTAGTGGCTAAGGTACTCGGCTGCTGACCCGCAGGTCGCGGGTTCGAATCCCGGCTGCGGCGGCTGCATTTCCGATGGAGGCGGAAATGTTGTAGGCCCGTGTGCTCAGATTTGGGTGCACGTTAAAGAACCCCAGGTGGTCGAAATTTCCGGAGCCCTCCACTACGGCGTCTCTCATAATCATATGGTGGTTTTGGGACGTTAAACCCCACATATCAATCAATCAATCGCGTATAGCTGCTGTTCCAATAGTACTTTGACTTGGCCGAGTCAGTATATACTTGGCTGGTTCCCCCGCTCGCGTGATGTAAACTAATAACTTTGAATATTGCATCTTTATCATGGTTTTTATTATCGTGACATTTTGCCACCCACTTTCACTACACATATCTCACGCCACTGTCATGATTTTATTACTTCCATGTTTTTTAACCCGCGTCAGCACGAGGAATTTTAAGGCCCCTTTACAGCCACGCATCATATCGTTGTTCATATCTCTAGTCAACTGAAATGGCGCTCTTTAGCCATCAATTGGCCCTTGCGCCATTAAAAAGTACTCGTAATCATCATAACTTTGAATATTGCTACAGGTTCTTCGTTACGACTTTTAAACATTGCGTTGTCAAAATCCCTGACGAAATTTACCGTGACGATTCGGGTTTCCGATCTCGCCAACTATTGACGCATACGAGGACCTGTACGGCAAAATCGAACCCCTCGGAGATGCTTCAGAAACGGTTGACGTCACAAAAATGAGTAAACTCTATTGGACGGAACATTATGGGAGTCGCAGCGGCTGTGGGCGGAGCTGACTCTATATTAACGGCTGCAGCTTTCTCGAAAGGAGAGCAACAATGGAGCCAATGAATCATTTTCGTATGCGCGGTTCAGCGCTTCGACCGTGCATCTCACTTGCGATCGAGTCTAAAAACAGATGCGCAGTGGCCTGCGCAATGGAATGTGTGTTTGTGTGTGGGGGGGGGGGGGGGGGGTGGAGGGTAGGATTGCCTTCGGCACTAGAATCAGCGAAACAGCTGTTCAGCGTAGCATCCTTTTACACGTCGTTACCTTAATGTGTGTGTATAGCAGCGTTGTGTGACTTGCGTACTGGTTGAATAAATTAACTTCTAGTAGCAGCAGCGAAGCGCCGCATACGGTGCCGCAGAAAGCATAGCAAGCCCCTCCCCCTCGTATGCCTGATAAAGCAGCGTAACCCGTGCCAGTCTGTAAAGCGCACAACACAAGGAGCAGTAATTTGCACGCATGAAGACAATTTTGAAACAATGAAGTAGGCAATGTTAAGTTTTTATAACAGTTCGTGAAACATCGTTAAAAGAACATTCATACTGCGAGACCTGTCGGCAAAACTCGGTATATAACAAGTGTATTGTAACCTTTTTTTTTTTTTAGTGCTATAAGGTCGGTTTTGCCCAAGAGATGCAGCCCCCCCCCCCCCCCTTCCACCGGCGCTACCTTATGCGCCTTCGCTTGACCGGTGTGTTAAACGGAACGTGACGACGACGGCTATGACGACGCTTAGGACAACAATACCCCTTGAACGTCGATATGATTGATAATAACATAGTGGATATCGTACGCCACAGCTGTAAGTCCATCCGCCTTCCGTCACAATTCGACGTATCGTGGCGCTTGTTGACCAGTAGAAAAAAAAAAAGGGGGGGGGGGGGGGGTAGGTAATAAAAATTTGAATAACTTTTCGATGAGGAGGCTATCGATATATTAATGACGATAACGTCCACCTGCGCAAATACGTGCAAACGATAGCTACGGCTGACAACGACGCCGCAACGCGTAATACATTGAACGGCCGGTTTACGAAACAAGTCTGCCGCGACAAACGCAAGTATACCTATATACCAGGTCATCCACGTTTTGGGGGAGACGCCTTATTGGTATTCAAGCCCCGCATAACCTTCACACGTCTTCAGCTTCGGTGGAGTGGGGAAAAAAATATATTTGCCTTATGCGACTCGTGTCTATGATGGTGACGTACGTAAATAAACATTTTTTTTTCTGAGAATTTCATACAAAACGTATTCAGCTACAAGCTATTGAATACTAGTGAGGTGTCTCGACACTGAAGTACTGGTCGACCTTGTATGAAGCTCATTGTTGCTAACAGATCGACAGGAGAAAAAAACAGATCTAAGCGAGGGAAGGGACACACCGTCCCTTTGGATTGTTGTTTTATCCCTTAGCCCTCTGACGCATTGCTGTTGTCGCGAGCTGGTGTGCCAGCCTCAAAGGACACTGACACGAAAATGTTCAGTTGTTTTCTTGGGAACCAAACGGAAAGCAAAATCACTCAAATAAGTGCGAGTGCGCCCTTAACAATTCATTACACTGCGATTTCAAAAATAGCTATAGTTTCGCTTCCTATTGTTCTCTGACGTCACGACACGGTATGAAATTCTTCCCGTCACGTGTTCGAGCGAGATAGCGTGACATTTCCGTGGCAGATCCGTCACCGATATATCGGTGACGCACAAGCGGCTATTTTCAGTTTCTTGACATTTGACGCCATCGAGTCACCACAATTGATACTGTGGCCTGACGTCGTGATGACATCGATATCGGAAGGCGCTTGACGGAAAATGTACGGCATTTAGTGTCGAAGTACTTTATCGGCATTTTGTGCACTTGCTCAGAGCAGCCCCTTGCTCACCGAGATTTGTCTGGCATTAACTTCGTTTCGAAAAAAAAAAAAATCGGTGTTTTTAACTTCACGGGGCTTCGACTGAAAGAATAAAGTATTGACGGAAATATCGATGGATGAGTAACAAAAATGGAAACGTAACCGCTGTCGTTTCCGCAAACACACTCTCCGTCAACTTCGGTTTTATATTTTCAGCCTTGATGGGTGTCGATGCTATCACCAATGTTTTGTCCGGACCTGATGACACTTCGTCAGACTCTCGACGTCAATGATGTGTTAATATGCTTTGCATACTCCAAAGCCACGGTTATGATAATGAACTCCGTATAGTGTGCGTGTGTGTGGGCGTGGGATCGCCTTCGACACTAGAATCTTAGCGAGACAGCTGTTCAGCGTGGCATCCTTTTACACGTCGGGACACACACTCTCTCTCTCTCTCTTTCCCTCCAACCCCGTCCCTTACTTGTGCCCCTGAGTAACCAAACCAACTTCATAAAAGGGTTGCGTGCTATCTTCGTACAGTGCTGTGCTCGCATCGCCCACTGGAACGACCGCAATTAATGTCGACGTTTCGCAGAGTTGCGCCAGATCGGACCCGAACCGATTTAGCCGCTAGCCTTCGTACAACATTTCAACTTGTTATCAACTTGACCCCGGACCATTTTGTGTGCAGGAGATACTAGGACCTTGGGCATCTGTCTCAGTTGCGCAGAAAGCAACTAAAGCACTGCTACATTACCTTAAGTCATCAAACCTGAGCGACCGCCTGTAGACTGTGTGTGCTCCCCGAGTGTGCTCGTGATTGTGTGTACCTTCTCATCTCTCTGCAACCTCTTTTCTCCCCTTTATCCCTTCCCCAGTGCAGGGTAGCAAACCGGGTGTGCGTCTGGTTAACCTCCCTGCCTTCCCTTGCATCTTTATCTCTCTCTCTCTCTTCAACTTGTTGCTATTGCATTGATTGCTTCGCTCTTGCGGCGAAACTGACTTTTTTCTTGCTCAAGTTTTGGGGTATATCGAAATACCCGGTTTAACAAACCAAATTTAACGCGTTTATATAGCCTGCTACAGTTCCCCGTAAACGGCGTCGACCGATTCATGTGTGCGCCTTGTGAACGCGATGCGAAATAGGTCGTTGTTGTAATTGCATATGGGAGGGCTAAAACAAGTGACAATGGGGCGTTTGTGTTAATAGCGACGTAATTATGGGTCGATACGCCGAGAAATAAGAGTGTGGAAACAAAATTGAGATGATGCCTTGAGGCGACGTACGAATGGCGACCCCCCCCCCCCAAAAAAAAAATTATAAAGATTAACGCCAGGGGAAGCCTAGAAAGATGAAACCGTTTATGCAGATGGTACGAGAAGCAAGCGTGACGCGAATGTAGGTCGGGTATAGCCGTGCGAGATCCCCGCGGCTTATCCCGACAGCTTGCAGATGGACAGGTGGTGTCAAAAACGTGTCTGCCTTCAAAAAAAAAAAAAAGTGATAAAAATAAAGGGGAGGGTGGCTTTGTGTCACTATTGTGAGTTTTTCATTGTGATAAAAGCCTTGCACAACATAATTGAACTTAATAATAAGAACTTAATAATAAAAAAAATATCAAGTTCTTCAATTACGCTGTGCTAAGGCTTTTATGTGCAGCGTCGGCGAAATGCTGGGTTTCGGAAATCCTCAGAATTCAGCATCATTTGCCGCTCGTCTGATGTGCTTCCACATGGGACCATAGACTGACCATAGATTGACCCTAGATTGATTGATTATAACACTGCATATAACTAAAGTGGTGTCAAGGGAGAACTCCAGTGGCGTGTGCTCTGTCGAGGTTAATGGTGCGCTTACGCTGTGCTTTAATTCATTCGCGCTTCGTTGCAGTCTGGTAGGGTACACGTGACCGCGGAAGTGTTGCTTACGACAGACTGTGTCGATGTCGCTTAGCAGCGTCTGCTCCCGCGCTGCTTGGTACACAACTGAAGTTGCGCTCGTGTGCGAGCATCTTTGTGGCCGTCGTTCCTATCTTTATAGAGTATGTGTGCCCGTTAACTGAACTTCGTCGGTGCGTGGTTTTCGCAGGTTATCCGAGCGTGTGCAGCACTCCGAGCTCGACGGCGAGCTCGCTGTCGCCGCTGAGCAGCCGCGCGGCCCAGTCGCCGGACAGCGGAGGCGCCCAGCAGAACGGCGCGCCGCCGGGACCCATGGCGGCCCTGCTCACGGTCGCCGAGGCGGTGCCCCCGACGTCTCCCAGAAACGGCGTGGCGCCCGCGGACTCGGCGACGGGCAGCGGCGTGGCGGCGACTCCCGGACGTCCACCGCGGCAGTCTCCGCCGGCCGCGACTCCGCCCTCGGTGGCCGCGGCGCACAAGAAGTCGTCGCGACACGCCGCCGCAGCCGCCGTGGCAGCCGCGACAGCGGGAGGAGACCCCGACTGCGGCGCCATCTCGGCGCCGACGTCGTCGTCGTCGTCGTCGTCGTCTGCCGCCACCTCGTCCGAGTCTGCGGCGGCGGCTGCGGCAGCGGCCGCGGCCGCTACGCTCAAGTGCACGCTCTGCCAGGAGCGACTTGAGGACACGCATTTCGTGCAGTGCCCGTCCGTGGGCCAGCACAAGTTCTGCTTTCCGTGCTCCCGGGACAGCATCAAGAGTCAGGGGGCGGCCTCGGGCAGCGAGGTTTACTGCCCGAGCGGCGAGAAGTGTCCGCTGGTCGGTTCCTCCGTGCCCTGGGCCTTCATGCAGGGCGAGATAGCCACCATCCTGGGAGACGAGTACAAGTTGACCAGCAAGGGTGCAGCCGCCGCGGCAGCCGACACCTAGGCCTACCTCTCGGCGTCATCGGGGTGGCACTGCTGCCGTCCCGTTTTGGGAAAAAAAATTGGCGAATGCCGCCGCCTCCTGCCCGGACGGCGGTTGGCAGCCGTTGTCGTCTTGCTGGCCGGTCCCGGGCCTTTGTTGAGAGGGATGAACTGCGCCGCGCGCACACCTTCCCCCGCCCATCCGAAGCGCGCCGTCCCATCGGACCCGCGTCGACAGTCCGCCTGTGTCGACCTTGTGCTTACCGCATTGCACCGCGGGACCGCAATTGGCGCGCGCGCCTTGTGTGTGCTCCCTCGTCCTCCTGCCTGTAAATAATAATAAAAAAAGCCGAATGAAATGTGTACAGCCGAAGCCGCTGGGTCTGTGTCGTCACTTCTGTGAAGCGGGTGGTTGGCGTGCTGATTGCAGCACAGACTCGCCACCGTGGTACATTCTGCCATGTAGCGCAGAGAGAGAGAGATAAATACCTTTATTGGGTTGAAAAAGAAGGGGTTTAGGAGCTAGATGGGTGGGGCCCCATGTCCGAGGCTCCACTGGCTTGCGCCGCCTGCCGGACGTGGTCCAGGAGTGCTAGTTGCACCTCCGGGTCCGAGTTAGCGAGGAGTGCCTCCCATTGCTCCCAAGAGTTTTCCATTCTATACATACGCTGTAAGCGATCAAGTTCATTTGGTCGTTTAGCACAACTCCACGAGATATGGTAAAGGGTCCGTGGCGAGTCGCGACACCACGGACAATCGCGCCCATACAAAGTTGGATGAATTTTGTGCAGTCGTAATAAATTTGGATAAACTCCCGTTTGAATTTTACGGAGGTCTATGGCGTCTTCCCCTTTAAGAGATTTTGTGGGGGGGGCGCCATATTTCTGCCGCGTGTATCGCTGGTGAGCAAGAAGCTCTCGCGGAGCCATCCGAGCCGGGTCGTTTTCCTCCTCCTCGCGAAAGCCGTCGTTGCTGGGTGGAGAGCGCGACCAAAGAGTGAAGTTGGCAGAGCTGCGCGAAAGCTTGGACAGGGAACACATGAGACACTGTGCTGTCCCTGAACCAAACTTGCACTTGAAACATTTGAACCTGTGACAGTCATTGGTAGCTACAGGACATGGGCTCCTTTAAACCCCACAAATCAATCAGGACATGGGCTCCTGTGAGGCATTGTTGCCCCCTTCACGGTATGGTGGTGGATTTGCACAACAATTTACTAATAAAGCATTTTTGCATTCTATATATAGGTGGTTGCTGCGCAAGCAGGAGCAGGCCGCCCTCTTTTTCGTGTTGCAGTTTTTTTCTTTTTTGCAGCAAGTCTAAAGTTCAAGCTAGTGTAAGCACTAAAAAGCAAAATCAAACATTAGTAGCCGTCTCTGTAGAAGGAATCGATGGCCCTTGTACCTGGGTGGAGTCCTTAGCCCTAGGACCCCATGAGCTGCGGCCGCCCTGTGCGTACTCTCGACCAGATCGACCAAGTCCGTGCTGAAGCAGTGACGTAAGCCCCCCCGCTTTCCCATAATGTTATGTCGCCATGGCGTACAGGGCGAAATAAGGCCTTTTCGAGGATGTGCCCCCACCCCGAAAAACAAAGTTCTGCCTACGTCCTTGGGCTAAACTATAGTTCTTATCAATGTTATAACACAGAAAAAAGGGTGAAAGGCAAAGCGTTGCAAGGCCATGTATATAAGATAGTAATGGCAGCAGGTGGGAAGCGGAAACAAGGAGAGAAGGTATATGCTTAGCCACGCTTAGGAGAAGCGGAGGAAACTTGTAAGCATTGCAAGGGAACGGGAATGAGAGAGGGTGTAAATCTAGTCATATATAGCGAAGTATAACAGGGAAGGGAGGCCACTGAGGGTGAGGAGTAGGGCATAATGATTGATATGTGGGGTTTAACGTCCCAAAACTACCATATGATTAGGAGAGACGTTGTGGAGGGCTCCGGAAATTTCGACCACCAGGGTTTCTTTAACGTGCACCTGAATTCGAGCACGCGGGCCTACGGCATTTTCGCCTCCGTCGAAAATTCAGCCGCTGCAGCGGAGATTCGATCCCGTGACCTGCGGTTCAGCAACCGAGTACCTTAGCCACTAGAGCACCGCGGCGGGGTGAGGAGTAGGGCAGAAAAGGAGGGAGGGATTGTATGTGTAGAGAGGACACTTTCTCGAGAAATGAGTTGGCCAACACCACAGTGAGCGCCCGGCTGGTGTACCTCCTTTCCCCTTTATAAAGAGTGGTGGGGGGCCTTCCCGCTGTTGTAATCGAACACAGTACCTCCACGCGATACAGTCATCGAAATCACACTTGCACGATTGGGTGCGGGATCGGCAGGTTTAGCACTGTATACATACGTACGCAAGCGGTAACGCCGCCCGACTACTTAAACCACACGTACGCGTTGCAGCGTCACAGCGCTTGCATTTTGACGCGGCATTGCCTCCGAGATGGCAGGCGCACCCGTCATCTCGGAGGCCATGGACGCGGCGTCGTGCACTCTCCCTATGTAAGAGAGAGGGAGCGCGGCTACACAAAGCTGCCTGCCTTCTCTCTCCATCGAGAGAGGGCGTGGCGCCGCGTCCATGGCCTCCGAGATGACGGGCGCGCTCGCCATCTCGGAGGCAATGCCGCGTCAAAATGCCACGCGCTGCAGCGCGCGTGTGGTCAGGCCGTGCGGACAAAAAAAAAAAAAAAAAAACGCGGCACATGCAGGTCGCGTTTTGGATTTCCGTAGAAAAGAAGATACTGCGTGAGCAGCATTCTTTCGCGCACCAATCAAACGAGCTATCTTCCATAGACATTCATTCATTCATTGTTATTCTGCGCCGAGGTGATGAACACCACGAACTTTGACATTATACGCGAAGCTTGTGGAAACACGTTCTTTTGTTTATCGGCTGTAGAGGAATGGCAATGTCCTGATGGACGTGTAAGGAACTTAAAAAAAAGGCAGCCATTTAGGAAACAGCAGGAGAAAGAAAACAATACGAATGTACAAAAAAGCCTTTAGATGCATATTGCCATGCTCCCAGATTTCGTTTGCTTTTATTATATATATAAGCACTTTGCAACGAATAGAAGAGTTCCAACTAAAGAAGCCTTAACCCGCACAGTGCCCACGCGCTTAATACGCGTTTGTGCCATACGTGGAAAGTCGAATTAACCGAGGACATACAATAAGCGGTGGTAGACTAGTTCCCACCCGCTTTAAGGGTAGGGGGAGGGGAGAGCATTTTCCAGACAGCTGCTACCTGTTGGAAGAAGGAAAGAAATGCTTGAAGCACGTGTACAAGTGACGAACAGCCAATCAACCAAGGATCGTCATCATCTCGGCGGGAGGTCTTCCCGGCCGCCTCACCGGCGGGGAGCGATTGGTGTCAATCGCCACGTATTCGTGGAATACGGTAAAGCGCTAAACAGCCATCGCTTCGTTCTATACGTTTTCGTGCTTTGTTTTCGTCCACCACGGCCGCCGCCGCTACTACTTACAATGCACTGATTCGCGGAACGTCTAGTAGTTCTGTCAGTAATCACTGCATCAACGTGACAAGCCAAGCATATGCCAACTGGTTGGAAATGAAGGGTGATGCACCATCATTGCACATTACGCGTCTTAGGGGGGAGGGGGGGAATTCGACTGAAAATGCGGTTTTTCATTTTTTTATTGCACAATATTCCAGCAATAATGACAAGTGTTTCCACGAAGAAGGGGAAACTAGTTAAAAATGGTCCCGGACGTATCTGATCCCGCCATTTAAAGTTCAAACTGCCCTGCGGCAATTTTTTTTCAAACACTACTTTTTGTCAGAAAATTAGCATTTTCTCTGTTACCACAGCAGCTAACAGGTGTAAACTTTTGTGACTTCTTCTGTGATAACAGGTGGCTTTACTGAAGCAAAATAATGGTGTTGCTACCAAAATTGTATTTTTTACAAAAACTCTCATTAAAAAAAAGAAACTCCACAATTCTAGTCATCACACGTCTAAATTTTCATCTGAAGAATGGTGATGCCTATAACCATTATTATAATACCCTGGGCACATGTAATAACCAGAAGAGATTTCACAATTCTATACAAGCCAATTTTTTTCTACAAATGTTCCTTAAAAATTTTGATTTTTAGAATCGCTTTGCATTTTCTTGCCAAGTTTACAGAACATATAGTGCAATCTTCAATTCAGACAACCTGCAAAATTTTGTGGTGTTTTTAAATATAACTGAGCGGTGGGCAGTAGTGGTCGCACCCCTGCCTTTGCTGTCCATCGCCGCTTAACTGTTGCGACTCTTTTGTTGGATGCGAAACTATTTCGTTGTCTTTTCAATGCTGTCGATACCACGAGCACAGAAAAAAAATTATCTATGAACAAAGGACAGCCATGCTACCAGCTAGCGGCCACGCACGCATTATTTTTTGTCACTTTGAGGCTAGAGCAGTGCACTTCGATCGATGGTATGGATATATACGCCTCCTACAACGTTGCGCTCCACTGACCTGAATTTACAAACGAATCTTCTTGTTCAGAAGAATGAAGAACAATTTGCTATATGAAGATCATGGCCATTAACCTCACAGACGGAGAGGTACCCGATGAGGTCGAACGCTATATTTATCAAAAACGTACTGTAAAACTCGCAACACAAAACAAAACTTCAAAAAAAAAAAGAAGAGAAAGATTGCCTTCGACAGATGCACGTGGTTCTTAAGATCGATCACGCCGAGTGGCGTACGTTACTTGCAAGAAAAATCTAAGCGCACACATGGTCCAACATTTAACTTTTCAATTAATCGCCTCAGAGCGCCGCTTGTAGCGATTGAATAATTACAGCCGGATCATTGAACGTGGTCTTGCGGTGAAACTACAGTGGCCAGCCGCTCGCCAGATTGAAAATCACTGCAGTTGTTGACTGGATAGGTGACCTCTCACTTTTGAGATTTATGGAAGTCCGTAGTTTTCAAAACCACAGCAAAATACTAGTTTCGGTTTCGCTTCTTTGGTGTTGCTCGTGTATCAGACGCCATTGAGGAACGCGTGACGTCGACTGTGAGAGACGAACAAGAAAAACATAATGTGTCGTGACAAGAAAAGAGGTTGGAGACGGTGCATCCCGGCTGCTACTCTCTACCAATGTGAGGAAAAACCTACGAGACAGGTGTGCATGAGGGCGACTTCGCTGCAATGACGCCAATGAGTAGCTCTACGCTCGTCACGTTCCTTGATATTACTCTCCGAGGTACAAGTAACCACATGATTAGGAGTATCGTCTTCTCGTAATAAGTATTGGCGGGTTTCAACGCGATCAGTAAATATCTCAACACCACACGCAACAAAATTAATGAAAACGAAACCGAAACTAGTTTGTAACTTTGTCAAAGTTTTTAACAAGTTATCTCGTTGTGGCAACTGCAAGCAGCGTTTCATATTATAACAAATACGCCGTTTCATTAGCATTACCTGTGGTTTAAACGAGCGTGACAATATGGTTTTGACGGTAACATTCCTCGCTTCTTCCGTTCTGGGCTCGATGCGCAGCGCTATCGAAGTAGGCATCGAGCATCACGCGCCAGCCGCGCCAGGTGGAGATGTGCGGCTGAGCTGCCTCCCGGACCCGGCACCTCCCAGTCGGTGAAAAAGTTAATCGGACGTCGACCAAAGAATCAGGAAACCAAGTCATGGGTCTCAGAGAAGAAGACACGACAACACTGGACAAAACCTCCAACTGCTGCAACGGTGTTGCCCACAGTGAAACCCCAAAACGCAATCCAATGCGAAGGTACGTACCGCAACTCGCCCAGCGCAGTCGTGGGCTGCGCCTTGGTGCTCCGGAAACGTAACCCAGGTAGCGCGAACTTTTATTTCTGTAGTTTTATTTCGTGTTTTTTCGCTTCGCCGCTCCCGTCGTTGCGGTTGTAGGCGTCGTGCGGTTTACGGGGTCAACGCTGGGCACTCGCATTTGCCCATGGGCGCCGCTTTTGGCTTGACGCGGCGTGCCCGAGTTGAGCGAAAAATTGTGACGCTCGGGATCATTGACAGAACGAGGTCTCCGCGCTGCATTACCGAAACCTCGGTTCGAGGTGAACGCATCGGCGATCGCCGGCCTTGCGCGTGTCGCACTTGTTTTCCGCAGGCTGTCCCCATTTCGGCCTTTCGAAGGCTCTCGTGTGCGCACGCACTTAATTCGCGCCACCGGCTTTTTAATGCTGCCGACTTTCTCCATGCCATTACGTACGCCAAGCATGATCGTGCGGTAGCTCATCTATCCGAAAATCTACAACGTGCCTTCGCTTCACATCCCTATGTTCCTTTTCCCATTCAACGCCGATTTTCCGTGCCGCAGTGCTCTTGTCTTCGCTAGCTTGCGCTGTCTAGCTGCACGCCATGCCATTCACGCAGGAACAGGTACCTGGACATTTTTCGCGTCCATCTTCCTTTCGCTCGATGTTGATCGTCGCGTGAATGATTATCGCGTTGTTTATTGCCGTTATCTAGTTCCGAGTATTCACTGAATGCCGCTTTTCGTGTAACAGTCTTTCGACTGTTCTGTCATGTCCGCTCGCCATGAAATCTCACGTTTCTCGGTGCATGTTTGTCGCATCGTTTATCGTCGATATCTCGGTACGAGTATTTCGACTTAACGCTACTGCACGCGTGGTAGTCAGTCTAATTGTTTACCATGACTGTCCGCACGCCCATCTATCCGGGGGACGGGAACCTGAGTACTTTTCGCGTTTATTTTGACGTCTCAATGTTTTATCACCACGTGCATCGGTTATCACGTGGTCTATTGTTGTGATCGTGTTCCGCGTGCCCGCTGAATGTTACTGTGTGCCGTCTTTTTTCGTCCTGTATTCACTCGTTTTTTTGATGCTGCACCGCACAGCTGCTAGGAGACTGCTGACACTGTTATCGGCGCGTTGCAGATAGCACTGAACGGAGTCGTCTTTCGCACCGCGTTTTTTGCGTAAGTCTAGCTTGGGCAAGACGAGCCCTTTCCCGACATTGACCTTGCATGTTGCAGTCTGAGAGAGAGACAGAGAAAAGCAAGGCATATCTCTTCAAGTTGAGCGAATAATTTGATACCGTATGGGCAATCTGAATTGAGTGCGCTCTGTGGGGTTTTGCTTTCGTTCTTGCGTCATCGGGATGTGTGCCTCCTTGGACATTTCCTGTAGCTCTGCGGTTTCATATCATATCTTGAAAAGGCGCGCGAAGATTTGGTTTTTCCCCGGTAGCTGCTGCCCTAGCTTTTTCACTCATTGCAGCTATCTTGAAATTTTTGTAATGTTTTTAAGCAATAAATTTCACTTAATAAGGGATAAGAGGTGGTGGCAACATTATTACGAGTACTCGTAATAGCGGGATAGTTTAATAAAATTCATACACATAGGAAGTGCCTTGAATAAAATGTAACATGACCTTTCTTTAAAGTATTCTGCTTGTTTGCGAACTCTTGTAGAAGTGTCGGCCTCTTACTTTTGACTAGGTTGGAGCATACTTCCTGATCGTTGACAGTTGTTCCTGTGTGTGAGTAATCCCCCCCCCTCCTTGTAGAAAAAAAAAAAAATCCAATATATGTCAGTGCACTACATAGAAGGTTTGCTTGAGCACTGAAAATAAAGTTCTAACTTCACTTTTTTTTGCACGCATTCCGGTTTGATCACTTTACAATGCATGCACAGGAACCATGCAAATGTTCGTAATCTTTCAACGTTTGTTTAGGGTGCAGGTAACACGCCCAAGACATGACGTGCTATCGCCTTTCATTTTGGGACTCGCTGCTAGCCTGTCTTGCAGTACTCGATATGCTTCAAAATTTTGCTGCTCATCGTCATTTTCCCACCATCACGTCCTCTTGAATAAGGGAGCATTTGCAAAAACTCTAGGTGAATAACGCTACAGAAAACCAACTCAATGTTATAATACAAGCTTTTGACTCGTTTAATTGCAGTATGTATGGTAAGGTTGTTTCTGTCAGTTTATGTCCGATGGGATGGAGAGTGAGGAAAACGTCTTACATAACATGCCCTTCTGTTTAGGTCTTAAGTAGTGCCAGTTCAGTTGTAACTGCAGTTGCTCTAGTGTTTCTTTCCTATTGATGGCACACATCTTGCATTGTGATGTTCAAGTAGCTGATACAAGCTTTGCGTTGCCCTGTACAAACGAAGCAGAATGTCGCGTTCGGTTGAGTACGTTTTTTGTCAGCTTGTCGCGCAGCTCTCTTGACAATAAAGGGTTGCACAAGCGGCCAGTTGATTCGCGACTTTTTTTTTTGTTTATCGACCTTTGGGGTTTATAGTATACCACAGCTGCTTCCACTCAAGGGGTGCAGAGATCGCTTAACGACTCATAAAAAATGTGCTCGATGGCTGAACCGACAGACAAAGCAACCTTGTGTATTGTCTCCAAATATGAGTCGCCGTTATCATCGGGAAAAGTGGCCTTGCCAACTTGCCACGCTGGGTGGAAAGCTTGTGAAGCTTATCTTTCTGCTGGTGGTCAGCTATTCTTTATCAAAATCGCATGTTGGCATGGCTGTCGGGCCTTTGCATTGCTGTGACAGCATGCGCATGTTAACTAGTGTTATAGAGGAGTACGGGCAACAACATCTTCGCTGAATTAATGGTAAGTATGTGCTGCATATCTACTAGCATGGCAGATTCGCAACCTAGTTTCTGAAGCTTGTAAGCTTGCTTCCTATAGCAGAAGAATCATCTCACAAGTGGCTGCAGAGTGCACATAAGGTGCGAGAAATCGATTCTCTCTAACATGTATAGACTGTGAGAGCGCATCGTCTTTTCTTGGCAGGAAAATCGGAGGGAAAATACCTTTGTTATTTCATTTTATTTTTATTGCTTACAGACCCCATTGACGGAGTATTACATAGGGGTGGGTACATACATGAAAAACAAAAGCCATGTTTTAATACATTGTAAAGTGATCTGTTAAAGTGGTCAAAAATGTTGAATGACAGGTAATGGCTATGATGTCACTGGAAAGGCTGTTCCAGTCAGTTGCCACACGAAAAAAGAATTAACACGAAAAAGTGACGGAGGGGGCACGTGGGCGAGCAACTTATTGCGGGCTAGCTCTCCTGCAATGCAGTTAGCCCTACTAATGGCAGCTGCTCACTTCTGCAAACAACGTGTTCAAGGGAAGCTCTGCCTGCTCTATGCTGCAGGAAAACTGTAGACTCACCTTCTTTGTTATAAACATACATAATAGACAAGTCCCAGCAAGTGCAACTAGGACCTTGTCTCCACTTGAAACATGAAAGGTGCTGCGGCACATTAGTTAGGCTAATGTGCAGGGCCGGGGAAGAACGCTTGTGGATTATGGAAAGGGTCTATTGTACCCCAAGATGTCTGTTCATTGGCAGTGACATTGAGGTCATCCGTCCATGGCCTATGATGTCGCGCAGGGAAAATTTGTATGCTTTAGCACTGAAGACCCATTAAACAGTACATGGCCACGGCTGCTTGTGTGCTCCGCCTTGCTTCAATCGCACACGATGCTTCATTTTTATATTTTCTTCACTTGCAGCATGAAGAGAAAAAGCCGCGGGTCCGGGGTAAGGACTACTTTGAGGAAACGCCTCTGCTCATGGCATTGAGCACCTACCTAAGCTATGTAATCCTGGGAATTTTCGGGCACATCCGGGACTTCATGCGTTCCACGGGGCTTAGAAGAAACGCACATGTCTACCGAGCTTGACCGGAAGGTGAGTAGATCTTGGAGCATCAGGAAGCGATTCTATCGTGATGGCTTGTCAAGAACAGACTGGAAATTGCGGTGTCCCATCCGTTAAATGGATGTCCGCAATTTCGTTTCACGTACACGTCAAGTTACTGTAAAATTTGAAAGCCTTTTTCTACTCTTTACATATAAGTCTGGCCCATTAAACAACCTTAATCTTCCCATGTGTGCAGGTGTGGTGGAGTTGCATGAGATGGGCGTAGCTGTGGGAATGGGGCATTTTCATGCCATTGTGTGCATTTGTGCATGTGTATTCACACTTCGATTACCTGCGAAGCGCAAGAAGAGGCTCACAAAGTTTTCAACAAGCGTGAATTAGCGAGCACAAAAAGATTGACCACGGCTGTCTTTCTGACCCTTGACTAGGATGAATTTCTCGGCAACTAAGTAGCTTTCTTTCTGAGAAATCCATACGGATTGCCTTGGTGGCTGCGTGCCACAAATGGGTGGTTGTTCATTTTCCCTTTCTTAACCCTTCCACCACCTTGCGGGTCTCTGCAGAACTCACTTGTATGCTGTCTCTTATGTTGCTGTAGTACACACTCGAACCTGGTTATAACAAAGTTTCATCTTACAGCAAAGTAAGTTCGTTATACCCAAAAATTTGTTATAAAAATATATTCCTGACGCTATATAGATTGCAAGACTATTCTTAATTTACTTTGTCATAACTGATATTTTGTTAAATTGAGGTTTGAGTATATGTCAAGTTTCTGTAGCTTCCTTAATAGCTTTGTAGCCTTAACTTGCTGTGCTTTTTCAACTGCCTATGTTGGTGATGGAAAGATAGCTTCCCACTTCACAGTGATTAGTTTCAATGGGCTGACAGGCCTTTCTGGTTTTTATGTTCTGTTCATTCATACTTATCAAGGCTTGGGAATTAAGAAAATGTGCCGGTATGTTTGTTCAGGAAAAACACCTGAAATTCGGATTACAAGGCAAATAAGAGCTGTCAAGTTGCTGGTGAAACTAGTGAACTAAAGCGTGAAATACATTTCAAGAAAAAAAAAAGTGTGGGAGAATGTGCCCCGCGCGGTGGTCTAGTGGCTAAGGTACTCGGCTGCTGACTCGCAGGTCGCGGGTTCGAATCCCGGCTGCGGCGGCTGCATTTCCGATGGAGGCGGAAATGTTGTAGGCCCCTGTCCTCAGATTTGGGTGCACGTTAAAGAACCCCAGGTGGTCGAAATTTCCGGAGCCCTCCACTACGGCGTCTCTCATAATCATATGGTGGTTTTGGGACGTTAAACCCCACAAATCAATCAATCATGTGTGGGAGAATGTCGGCATTAAGGATCCACTTAGTGCTTGCTATTACAGTTAAGTGGCAGCTGCTTTGCACAGCTAAGCATGAAGGCACGAGCTCAATTTTTAGCCATGGTGATCGCATTTTAGTGGCGGTATAATGCAAAAATGTCCATGTCCTGAGATATAGGTGGGTGTCAAGGAACCCCAGACGGTCAGGATTAATCTGGTGTGCCTTGTAATGTCGTAGTACTGAATTCACTGAAAATAATGAGAGGGTTTTTTTTTGCTGCCTAAAGTCGACTTTTGCATTACGGCAAAATATCGAAATAGCAAGTTTTTCTTTCTGGACACAATAAAAAGGCACTTGTCGCGTTAGTCATGTTTGCATTACAGTAGCATAAATATGGTATTGCCTTGCAAAGTCTGAAAATTGAATTGATTTTGAGCTAATGTTGTCAGGCTCTGCTTGTTGACAACATGAAGCTGGGGGGCAGGCACATACATATATTCATCTGCGAACAAGCAGGTACACTTATTTTGCTGCTTATAAGTGGACCTGGTACCCGAAAGGTGGGAGCTCAATCGTAGCTGTTATCGCCACACCTTGTAGAAAAAGGACAGGTTCTCGTTCTGTGCGATGTCCGTGCACTTTGGAGCACTGCAACATTTTTTTCAGCACCATCAAAATATTCTGCCAATCAGTAGTTGAGACTTTTGTGAAACATGCGACTTGGTTTTCAGTAGTCTTGTACATACGTGGCATTTCTGACCTGAGCCAGCGGAGTAGTAGGGCTGTTTTGTTCCCAAACTCACCAGTACTTGTTCTTTCTGGCAGGGCTACGTTCCACTGTACCAAAGCTTTGAAAGCTTCTACACACGCAATGTTTATAGACGAATTCGTGACTGCCTCAACCAACCCATATGCAGCGTGCCGGGTGCCTGTCATCGATCTGGTGGATCGCGTCAGCTACGATAACAACTGGACTTTCGTGTGAGTCATGTCCCGTGATCTATTTTCAGAAAAAACGAAAATGTAGTTAAAAAAAGTCCCACGAGTTCTGTCGTCCTGTGTCTGTGACCATGTTAAGTGGCTCCAATACTCCATTGTGTGACGTGCTAATTCCAGTTGTGGGACTTGTGGAAACAGCTTGCTGATTCCTGTTTGCAGTGTTGAACAGGACTTGCCACACACATGATTCTGTGGCGCACATGGCTGTACTGTAAAATGTTTTGCTGGCATGCCGTAAGATACGGCATGGCCGACTGTACACGAACAACTCTCTATAGGCGTACAGGCCTCCTACGGTTTGTCAGCATTGTGCATCGGTCGATTGTCAACAAGCAGTGGACAACCAAGTGTACGTAGCGCCTGTAAGACTGTGGCCACTGCAGTTCGGACAGTTGTACACTGAAGGAAAGCTCAACGCTGGGTTTTGTTTCAACGTCACGCCAATCACATCACGCTCAGCACCTGTAGTAATTTTGCACTTGGGAAAAAGTTCGTCCGTCAAATGGCAGTTGGTGCTATTGGTGATGAGTTGAAACTCGCAGTTCTTCAGACGTGAGTTGAAAAACAACTATTTCGAAGGTGTATGCTTTGGTAGCAAAACTAAAAACGCCAATTGATGTATTTAAGCTTTGTTCTGGGGGAATTTGGTTTAGGTGGAAGTACGATTTGTGTGTTCTATTCATGCGTGTGGAAAGTTAGAAAATGCAAATACCGAAGCCCCCTAAGATGGCATTGTAAATTTAAATCTTGCGGAATAGGTTGTGCTCTTCTGTTTGGCCCTACTCCTGCTGCTACCTGAAAGGTGTGAGCTCAGTCCTGTCTGCGTTTGTCGCATCTCCCATGAAAAGGAGAGGTTCTTGTACTCACAATGACAGTGCACATTGGAGCCCTGCAACACTCTTTCTATGTTGTCAAAAAATGCTGCCGATTGGTTGTTGAGATTCCCGGGAACATGCGAGCCAAAAATTATAGCCCCTTACGAGGCCTGAATTTACAATTCTCAGCCCGCAAAAAGAAATCGTTCCTTCTTCTCTCCACAAGTGATGCTGTAAACTGAAATGACAGTGTCTTGTGCCCAAATTCGCGGCAATTGGCTGATTTTAGCATCGCGAGCTGTATAGTTACTGTGCCCACCGCAGGAGGGCACCATGTGCACACTCGCGGTTGCACTGAAGGTTAGCAGCTCGTTCAAAAAAAAAAAAGTGCTCAACATGTGCATGACCTAACTTCTTTTGCCCTTACCATCTCTCTCTGCTTAGCTTCCAGTGTGCTCATCAGGACGAGAGGAGAGATAAAACAATTACAGTGTGTGAGAAATCTCTGTAAATCTGCTCGTACTTGACGGATTCTAAAAATATTTCTGGTGGTTAATTCGTGAGGCAGTGCAACTCTTTCAGTGAAGTCATTTGATGGTTACTTGTAAGAGTGTGTGCAGGGGCCCATTGAGGAATCGTAATTGGTCCTAACTTCTGGAGTCCTCTACTCTTGCATGCCTCATAAGCGTAGTGTGGTTTTGGAACTTAAAACCATAGAAGTTATTATAATTATTGTGATGATGCTACCACGAACATAGCGTGTTATGTTCGTTTTAGATGCATGTTTTCAACTTCGTTTCAGTCTAGAAAGAGGATAGACGATACTTTTCATTCCACTTCTGAAATGATTCATTCAACTAGTTCTCAAACTGAAAGTAATCATGCAATGTAAGTCATCATGCACAATGTAATCTATCTCGCATTTTTACACCGTAGATTGTTTTTGGGGAGTTGTAGTACAGTCCCATATCACAGCATCTAAAGAGCCCTTTTTCAAAATTTACAAGCATAGTACAGTTTCTTCCAATTTCCAGTGTGTCGCCTAAGCATTGGAGCATGTTGTCACCCGGAGTGAACACGATTGTTTGATAATTAACTCTTCACAGCTTAGCTCAGCAATGTGATTATGGAATACTGCTCATTTATGAGCTATTAGCAAATACAGCAATGCTCATTGGGGTGCATCAGGGAAGGTGCACAAATGTGCTTGCGCGGTTTCCTGCAAACTAGAAAGCTTGCGATTTACTGCAGCTGTGTGATGGTGGTTGTGACCACGTAGCATTAGGGAGCAAGATTTATATTGCCACATTCTATTTCCCAAGTTTTGTTATCATCCCAAAACACTACACAATTCTCAGCGAAAACCGCGCCTGCAGTTTTCGAGAAGCTTCCGGACTGTAGTAGATCATTTTGATAAGATCACGCCCACTCTGCGAACTGTACAGATTATTCTGGAACCTACGCCACCGCCAGCGATAACGCTAGAACATTCGACGGAAAGAGTAGGAAAGAGTATAAATGCCGACGCGCTTCGCCGCTTGTGAGTAGTTGATCGACGGCCGACGTTTTGTTCGCCGCTATCAGTCCAAGACTGCTACTGTAATCGGACTTTCCGTTTACCGGGCACAGGTTCACCCAAATAAACAGTTAAATTCCAACACAAAGTCTTCCGTCTTTGGCCACGTCACGACCCCGTGACAATATTGTAATCAACGCACCGACATAGCTTTAATTGATGTCGGGCATAAAAACTAAATCGTTTTTCAACTTTTCTCTTACTGCTGACGATGTTTGAAGCGAGCATGGAAGCAGTACTCGCTTTTTTTTTTGTTTGCTTGCTTTCAAGTACTCTGGCTGGGTGCTCTCCCTGTCTAAATAAAGGCCATTGTGACCACTGTCAAAGCAGTTTTGATTGGCCTAAACATAAAAATGAAAATGGGGCATGTCATGGTGGGGTTGACGTTTTCATGCTAATTTTCAACCTTCCGTATCAACTGACAGGATTCAAAAGAAACTTCTGTTAGATTTTTTATTTGTAATGATTCTGTGATCTTAGTTGGGGATAATTTTCACGAAAGCTGAACATAATAATGAATTTGAGCCACCTGTAAAACATGTTGGATGCTTTTTATCGAGGGTAAATTTAATTATGTAACTAAGTTATGTAATTGCTTTTGACTGGTGATAATTAATAACGAGGTGCTCAGTCTGTTAACCATTTTCCTGCTAACTACTGTCCAATTGAATCGCTCGTGTGGCATGTTTCTTATTTGCCTCATTGAGTTGGTCTTGTACTAGTGCTGGCTGCTAGAGGGATTTCACAAGTTATGAATATTTCTTCTTAGAAAACCTGTCATCATCATATTGCGGATTGCGAATAAAAAAAAGCCTTAACGAAACATTTGTTTCAAATCATTGCATCAGAAGTGTGGAGTAAATGTAGAGCATCTGAATTCATTGTTGTTTTGAGACATTTGTTCGAAACCATTGCGCCCGAACTGTGGAGTAGATATAGAGCATCCGAATTTATTGTTGTAGGGATCTTTCTTTGAATTCTTCGAACAATAATCTTTTGCAGAGTTTTGTGTCTATTTCCGAGGAGTTCAAGCATGATGCCAAAGTGAAGATCCATTCCTTGTTCATAACTTGTCAGTTTATTAATACATAACTCAAGAGAGCATTAGGTGTTTTATCATTAGTTTGGTGGAGCTGTGTTGTGATTTGCTACAGTGAAATCATGTAGACTCTCCCTTTTCAGTGATATGTGACTGTAATTAGTGATTGATTTATTGATTGATTGATAGCATGTATTAACACAGTTATGTTTTACACAAAGTAAATGCTATCTGTTTGAAATGGCAAGCATCTGGTTCAATACTGAAATGATCGCCTAAATACACAGTGTGCATGGGTATTATACAGCGGGATATATACATTGCAGTGTGATAGCATTGGTGTGGATATATAGCTGCGACCATGATAATGTTGTCGCCAAATGTGATCATAACATGCCATTTGTAGTCTTACAGCTAATCGATGTTTTTGTTGCACAGGATGCCAGGTACAGTGACGAAGGCCATCAACATGGGTTCCTACAACTACTTAGGGTTCGCCGAAAATTCGGGACCCGTCGTCGACGAGGTGCAGAGGTCCATCGAGCGTTATGGCAGCGGAACGTGCAGTAGTCGTCACGAGCTAGGTACGCAGAAGCTTTTCTCGCACGCTTTCTTCTTCACCTGTGACAGCAATTGTATTATGAAAGCCACCAACAAAATCACTAGAGCGTTTGTGAGAGCACATATTTATCAGGGTTTCACGTTTGTGAAGGAAATTGGAACTTCTGCCGAACTGATCTGCAATGTTAGACCACAAAACCTGAACTCCTTTATACACTTTCTGCAATCTTTTGTACTACTGCTTGAGAGTGATCCCAAGTTTTGGTACACTATTAAATATATGTAATTGCAAATCATTTCTTTTAGTATAATGACTACTATGAGCAATTGTTCACGGTAACCACACCTTGCCATTAAAGGCCACTAGAAATAACATTGGCTCTGATGTGAGTGTGTGAGTCAAGATTACGTTTAATTTTGGCTGATAAGATGGCACTCAGCTTAATGAGTTGCTTGACGTCATCACCTTTCGGACTTTCTTGTCCTCTTCAGCCCATTACATTATGTTAAGCAATCCCACATAGTCGAAATTTCCAAAGTCCTCTGCTATTGTAGTTTGGGATGTAAAATGTGGACAATTGATAGTATTTTAACACTGAGCGCTTGTCTGTTTATTGTGTGCAGTAACCCTTCGTCGAGCTTTCGTAAGTACACAAGTGTAATCGTATACGAGAGCAGTTTTGTTGGTCGGGTGCGCACCTACGATTCAACGGTTGCGTCTGCCGGGACTGCAGGTACCCTGGCCATCCACCAGGAGCTTGAAGAACTGATGGCCCGCTTCCTGGGGGTGGAAGCGTGCCTGACGGTGGGCATGGGCTTTGCCACCAACTCAACCAACATTCCCGGCCTGGCCCAGAAAGGATGCCTTTTGCTCAGCGACGAGCTCAACCACGCCTCGCTCATCTTAGGCTGCCGCTTGTCTGGCGCCACCATCCGCGTCTTTAAGCACAACAGTACGTCTCTCGGTGGCCATGTCGTAGTTTCTCATTGCTCACAGCATTGCCACTTGGCGCCTGTACCGCTTAGTCATCCCTGTTGCGAGACATCGTTGGCGTCCCTCAGTAAATAATGCCCTAAATATTAGGAAGCTACAAAAAACAGCGAATGCTCTTATATTAGATGCACACTGAAAGCTGAACGCTGTCACATAATCTCTTTGCGACATGGTGTCCTCATTTGGAGATGCCTCTTATTTTTGCTATTTCTGTGCACTATTGGCAAGGAATATACTACAAACACTGAGCTTAAAATCAACTTACTCTTTTTCACTGACATTCTTTTATATCACTTAAGGGTAAAGTATTGAGGTACTCACTCTCAATTTAACGGAGAAAGTATCTTGTTTTAGATGTTGGGTGAAAGAGCATTTTTGTAAAAATTTCAATATATCTATATGACCTTTCTAGCAACACTCGCTGCTGGGAGACAACTATCGTGTGTAATTTGAGTGGCTCATTGAATTCGGTTTATGAAGAAACTTACCATAGCATGGCTGGTTGTGCAATAATTAGGTAATTGTTTATGTCTATAGGCCTTCAATTCGTCCTCTCAAATCTTGGCATCAAATTATGCTAATTTTACACATTTACAGACATTTGATCGTAATGCAAGTAGCGTTGGTGTCTTGTTTGTTTTCTATACTCGCAACACATGATGACCGACTGCTAGATGCACACTTTTGCGGCTAAATTCACAAGATATGCAGAAAGATCAAGAGCGCACTCTCTTGTTTTGCGTATCCTGTTTCCCGGCTCGTAATTTGGTAACTGGGCTTTAGAAAGAGCCTGAGATGTTCTGTTACCATAACACGCAAACATGTCAGCTTGTATCCTTGTGGCTTTCACTTGTGCACTTGCAACCTTGAGGTTTCAACTTGATGGTTGAAACACCTGTGCATGCTTACAGTTCCACAGTAAAATGCAAGTTGGTGATGCTGGCAAAACTGCTAGAATGGTAGCCCCCTTTTCTTCTTTATTGCAGTTGCAGTTCAACGTATTAGCTTTAGGTTCTGTATGTATTTTAAGTTAATACACTCAAACCTCAATATAACAAGCCTGATATAACAAAATATCAGTTATAATGAAGTAAATTAAGAATAGTCTTGCAATAAATACAATGTTAGGAATACACCTTTATAACCAATTTTTGGTTATAAACATGTTATTTTCTTGTAGATATGAATGTAATGGGTCAACACTTGTGTTTAGATTAGGATACTGAATTTCGCAAATCAGTAGTTTCGTAGAGAATCTTGCAGTTGTGTAGTTACATCTGCGCTTGCTTCGGCTGGGGTGTTTGAGGCTTTGAGGAGTGAATTCCGTGGTGGTCAAGTGCCTACTGATGCCTGCACATGGCAGCTAGCTGTGCGGCGAAATTTATTGGTTCCTTGGCCTTCTCTAATGCAGACGTCAAGGATCTTGAGCGGAAACTGAGGGATGCGATAGTTGAGGGTCAACCTCGGACCCACAGGCCATGGAAGAAAATCATCATCATCGTTGAAGGAGTTTACAGGTGCGAATGAAAGCTTAGGGCTGTTGACCTTGCCTCCCTTACCTGATGTAGCAGTGGGTGTTGTTAACGCTTACAGTCAGTGTGAAGAACATTGTGCGAAGCAAGAAGGTGGTCACACTAACGTGTGGTGCCGTATCACTCTTCGTTAGCTTATTGCATTGCTTCTCTGCAGTTTGAATAAATATCAATTTCAGCTGAATGCACTGCACGTAGGTATAAATAGCCACCTAATCTGCTTGTTCCAATTCACAGTTCACTGAGCTCACTTCGAATGCTAACTTGTGCTTTCAAAACTACTCTTTCATTAATCTGGGATAATGGGATGATTACTGAGGTAGTTGCTTAAGGGGGCTGTGATTCAAAATCACGAGACATTGCTTCTGGAAAATGGGCATTGGACATGTGATACAAACCACAGTGTGAAGTCCAGCAGTTACAAGTATTTTGACGAGGTGAGACACGCAGTGACGATGCTCAAGATTCTTTGAATTCTTGAGAACAGTTTAAATTTGCAATTGATATTCAATGGTGTAGGCAAGGGCTGAACAGAGTCTTGCTTGCTGATTTTCGACTAAAGCCGTGAAAGTTTTTTCATATATATACTAGACTAAGTACAGAAATATCCTGCGAAGAGACGTGTGCTGAGAGTAAGCTTTCGAAAAACACATTCTGCAACGCCTCTCTCTTTCAGTCTTGTAGAGGTTTTAATACTCCTTGTGCGTCTGAGGATCAGGGGTTCAAGTTTCTCTACAGTTCAGTGGTCGAGTGTTGTGATACTTTACACATTGGAAGGTTTTATGTTCGAAGGGCCTGCACTCTTTAGAGGTCAAGGGCTGAAATTCATAAATGTGTCTACAGGTGTTTTGCGAAATCTCATAGTTTGAATAGGTAGAAATGTGGTCCACTTTCTTGTTTCCTGTGTTGTATTTTCGCACTGTTCAGTTGCCTACAATGTCATATAGTATACTTGCCCAGCTTTCCATGTTGTAAATCGGGTTTACATTGTGAGTGGTGCTAGATAGTAAGTTTAGCGAGATAGTTGAAGTACATTTGTACAATCGGTGTCAAAGGAAACCCGAACAGCGGTAAGTCTTTGTGATAGTGTAGTGCGTGCCGTCCAGTTATCACCGTCGACAGGCACACGCATCCTGTTCGGCAACTTTGCTCATATATGCGTGCCTGCTCATAGTGATAAGTGGACGGCGCGCAATATACCATCGCAAAGCCTTGCCGCTGTTCGGGTTTCATTTGACGTTGATAGTACACACACTCAGATCAGCCAACACATGACGTGGTTGAAACATTGTACTATATTGCAAGGACACCTGAAGATTGTGTTAGTCAACCCTAGCTGGCACTGTCTGACAAAGAAATGGCATATATAGGCTTCAATTTTATTGTTGTTGTCACTAATACGGTCCTATTTACTCAGTTTTGCCTGTCACAGCATAGCATAGTGAGTTTAGCAAATGTCCTGTGCACTCCTTTTCTCGTCCTTTGTTTGGTTACACAATGTTTGATCAAAAATTGATCTGAGTGGTGTACAGTCTGTGTTTAACTTCATGCTCTTGTCTTCACTTCATTGCAGCATGGAAGGCTCCATAGTGATGTTGCCTGAGATTATAGCCCTGAAGAAGAAGTACCGGGCGTACGTCTACCTGGACGAGGCACACAGCGTGGGTGCCTTGGGGCCGAAGGGGCGGGGGGTGGTAGACTACTTCGGCCTTGACCCACGGGACGTTGACCTGCTCATGGGCACCTTCACCAAAAGCTTCGGTGCCGCGGGTGGCTACATCGCGGGGTCAAAGGTTAGTCGCACAGTGGTGCCATGAACTGCTATGATGTTTCTTAAGGGGGGACGTGGCAAGTAAAACTAATTTTTTTATTAATGTACTGTTTGTGATGAAATTTGGTGTGTGTATGTGGATGATTGTGAGGATTCCAAATATGAAAACCGTTTTCAAATACCTTTTGTACTTTTTGAGTTACAAGCATAATTATACTAATTAATGCTCTTCACACTTAAAGAGATAATTATTGCTAAATGAAATTATTTTTTCATATTATTATGTTCCCAAAGCATCAACTTGTGCAAAGAAGCTATTAGTTGATTTTTCTAGTTCTTGTAACCATAAATAAAATTTCCAAAACATGGATGTTGTTTTGCGCACACATCGCAGTAATTATAAAATGTGTTCTAAAAATTTTAAATGATGAGTAAGAAGAGAGATAAAGCTTTATTGCACTGCTAAAGGCCTCCTGAGCCTAGTGCAAAAAACGGAACGACTCTATCAGTCTTTGTTAGAAAATGACAGATGTTCTAGCGAAGGCACATAGGCGAAAATCAAGAGTTGAGAAAACTGACTTTGAAAGTTCACTCTTGTTTGGAAGTTCACAACATGCCTAAAACACTCAGAATCCTCCTGGGCAGTAATCCTGAGATGCTGTGGCCTTGGCCTCTGTAGAGCGCAACCCAGTTTTGCGCTTCTTTGTCGTGGAACAATGCGCCTTTTGAGCCCTCTTTACCCTTTTGGCATCCTTTTCGGCTGCTCGCCGTAAAGAGCAGTCTCCTGGATTGAAGCCCAGTTGAGCAGTGATCTCTTGCAGCGCACTCTTGCAGCCACCATTGAAACGGCAGACTGCATCTGCAACTGAACTTTCCACACTTCGAAGGGACGCGAACTGGCTCTTGGACTGGAGTGACCAAATGAGGCTGTTCATACTCTCCACAGCGTTCTGGGTTTTTCCCTGCGCACACCTTTCAAGGAGCTCTTTGTTCGAGAGGCGCTTGTAGATTGGCAGCAGTGCCACTTGCACGTGAGGGGGCAGTTTATGTTTGTGAGGCGGCAGCGGCTCTCCCTTGGCCAATGCCTGATTGTGCGGGCACCAGGAGTCAGTCCCACTTGGGCACAGGTCGTGGTGTGGATCCTGGTCTGTGGATGTTACATGGTAATAAGTGGCCATGATGGCCCTCTCCATGCCAGGAACATCATTGGGGTGGCTCTTAATGGCCCAGCCATAATAATTCGTCAACTTCTTTATCAGGCCCTGCGTCAGCCGGCCTTTGCCACCCATGCTCAGTCCTCGGCCTTTGGATTTGTGCTCATCAAGAAGGTTGCGCAAGGAAGTGCCCATTCTTTTTTTCACATGGTTCACACACTCCTGTTTCTTAATCACCATGTAGCCATACACCTTGTCTTGCGTGAGGGCAAGGTACGTACGGCTGTCACCGTCGCAGAGCACATTGATGTATCGAAGCTTGTACTTGGTAAACGATCTTTCAAACATGATCCTAGCTGCTTCTACTTCCATTTGGCCTGCATTAGCATCGGTGTTCTTTTGGCACTGTGGCTTGTGTTTCTCAAGCCACTCCTCATAGTTGTCGTCACCTGGCTTGGGGCCAACAGCACAGCCTTGGCAGTAGTTGGACAGGACACAGTGGTCCAAGACCAAGCCTGTGTACAGCTCGATTACACAGCCCACGCCAATATGACTTCTGTGCCCCCTCGTCATCCACGTGCCGTCGTAAATGACGTCAATGTTGCCTGGCACTCCTCCTAGGTCCTTGTAAATGTCATGCACCTTCTGTGCACTTTCTGCTTCAATGCGGGTGGCAGCTGATGTGGTGGCAGGGTGGCTGTACTTCCTTTGCAGTCTCTGGTAGGACTTGTGGTGCAGTGCTCGATGCGAAATGTCCATCGCAGAAAAAATGTCATTTATGGCAGATTGTTTTCTGCCAACTGACTGCACAGCCCTCAAAGCACGCACGTTTACCTCAAAGGGGTTCGTTTTTTGTTGCCCGGAGCACCTCGGGGACGACCACGCACTGTTCACTATGCCACAATTGTCACAAAAAAGTCCCATCCTCGCCGCGAGTCCAAGGCAGTGCGTAGTCTCGAGGCGTATCGACCCTTCGTCGCACTTGTTGCACTTTACTGACGAAAGCAGACCGTTCAGCATCTTCTTATTTACAATGAAGAATGTGGAGTCCTTACCGCCGTCATTTTCGTCGCAGCCTTCGTTCAGAAGCTCGAGCTTCCGCTTTGAAGCGGACTTCGATGCTACGGCATCCAAAACATCCCGCCTTGTCTGCGCCCGCTGCGCGATTTCTTCACTGCTCGGAATCTGGGCCGAAACTCGCGATAGAATGTTCGACGCGCGCACGCCCGGAGTTGCAACGGCTGCCGACGCGGTGCCACCGCAATCAGGTTCGCGAGAGCGTCCATCACGGTCGACGGCATCCGGCGGTCTGACATACGACGATGTGGCACCTTCCACACTCTCGGCCTCACAACAATCAGCGAAGGGTCTGAGTAGAGGCTCCGTGACGCTTGAAGAGCATGCTCCGTCCGGAACTGCGACTGGGACGGCAGCCGCAGTCGTCTGCCCTTTGTTCCAAGCTTTCCGACGCTTGCCGTACTTGTGGACGCTCCGGAACTTTTTTTGCGACAACATAGCACCGCAGTATGAGCAAGCACTCAGAAGAGACCACCGATTGTTTACAAAGCTTGGTAAAAAAAAAGCGGCGGCCGCAGATGCGCTCGCGCTTCCAAGGTTGCCAAGGTGCGCGGCGCAGCTTTGACCAGTAAGAGGTCGCGCCTGCTACCACGTGACCCGCGCAGCCAATTGCCGTTCTTCGTTTTTGTTTTTTTACTTGCTCCTCGCGCTTTTATTTTCACTCGGCGAAATACGAGACCGCGACCATCGGGAAGCCGGCTTTCTCCTCTTTCCAAAGCTACCAAAATGGCGGCCCACAGTCAACAACTTAGCGCGTTTGTGCGGCGTGAACAACACCGTTTCAGGGGCTTTTTTTTCGCACTTTTCGGCGACTAGCCTCGGCAAAAACACTATTTGCGGGATTTGTATCGCACGTATCGCTGTAATATTTTAGAACAAGGAAGTTGAAGGTCTGAAGATTACGAAAAAAAATAAATCAGAAAATCGCATATTTTGACCAAAATCGGCACTTTACTTGCCGCGCCCCCCCTTAAAGGATCCCTCAATGCTTTGCTAAATAATTCTAGAATGACCCCACCACGGCGATTTATTTTCTCACTAATCCCGTTCTACAGAATGCTTTTAAATGTGCTGGGTATAAGCACAGGTATGACATGCTCCGAGCATTATATTTTATTCTGACGAGTGCACTGGACGCTATTTGGCGAAATATAGAAGGGTGAGGCCCTGCTATGTTATGTTGCCACCTATCGTGGCCTTCAGCATTTCTGCTTGTTCTGTTTCAATTTGTTGGGTGCTATAGCCGGATAAAACATAAGAGGACGGGGGAGGACCCACCCAGTTGATCAAAGCGCAGCTGCTGATGCCTCCGCGACTAAAAAAATTGTCCCACGCATCGGCTGGATGTCAGTCACCAGCCAGTCCGGCTCATGACTTCAGGCCTGAGCGTGTGCCCATTGGTACAGGCACCTCATGGTGGCCGTGGTATCTACGTGACGGATGAGAAGTTGTTAGTCTCGTAGAGTTTTATACAATACAGTCGATCCCCTTGAATTTTTCGTGCAAAAGTATGACTTGTGCGCCCGTATTTCCATATATCGAACTCTCGCACAGTGGGACATCCGCTGTATCGAACGCCGCGCCATTCCAAAGTCCGGAAGGTAAATTTTTTCTTGCAAATATTCGTCGATTTTCGGCCGCGTTCTAACAACTTTCGATCCCTCTTAACGCACGGGCATAGTGTTTTTCAAAAAGGCCAATTGCCGAGTGTACCAAAATCAGAATGCAAACCGTCTCAGTGATCTCGTTGCAATGTTTGCATGGCCTTGTTTGTTAGCGCACAATGGCATGCGAGCCTGAAAAGCATGGCCTTTGAGATGTGCAACCCTGTGACGTATTTTTAGTGTTTAAAATGCATGTCTCGGAGGCTACGCTTTTTCGAGCTTTTTGCACCAAAGCAGGTGAAAGCAGTGCCTGCTAGCTACAAAACCACAAGTGACATCGATATCGTCAACATGGCTACGCTGGGAGCTCGGCGTGGTCTTTTGAGTCTTATCGACTTGTGTACTTCTAGCCTCGTTCGTTATAAATCCTCATTCGGGAAGTGTGGCAGTTTGGGCTAGGTGGTATGACATGACGATAGTTATAGCACGAGAACAGAACGACAAAGAGACTTCTTGTCTCTTTGACTTCATTCTATTCTCACGCTATAACTATCGTCATCTCATTCGGGAGTTGAACAGAATGTTGACCCGCACGTAGCGATAAAAAATGTGACTTGCGCCTAGAGCAACGTCAAGTAAAGCACCGTCGTAAACTTTCCTTGCGGGCCAGGTGACTATTTTGCGTGCGTCATGACCACTGACGACGTACGATGCCTCGGTGAATTCTGCGGCTTAGCACCGTTCCGTGGCATGATCTGAGGCAGTGAACGACTTTGTAGATGCTGATGACGATCTAGATGATTCTGACTGCATCGGTGCTGATATCGTGGCTGCCATTGCCGATGCCGCAGAAGTGTAGCAGTGCGGTTATGAATATGCCAATGCCTTCACTACCGCTGCTAACCAACCCTTTGCCGCACTTTAAAGCTTGCATCTGCATTCTGCGTACATCAATGCTGTTGTGGCCAAAGGAGCTTAATTTGATTATTTGAAAAGCTTTAGTGATATTGAGGATGACTGGGACTTGACGGTGCGCAAGAACTGACAAAGACGTATGTTGGCTCGGTGAATTCTGTGACTTACCAGCATTTCGAGGCATCATCTGAGACAGTGAGCGACTTCATCGGTACTGATGACGATCTAGATGATTATGACTGCATCGATGCTGATATCGTGGCTGCCATCGCTGATGCCGTGGAAGTGTAGCAGTGCGGTTATGAATATGCCAATGCCTTCATCACCGCTGCTAACCAACCTTTTGCCGCACTTTAAAGCTTGCATCTGCATTCTGCGTACATCAATGCTGTTGTGGCCAAAGGAGCTTAATTCACTTACTTGAAAAACATTAGTGATATTTAGGATGACTGGGACTTGACAACAGTGTACTAGAAGGGGGCAGTGGAGTGAACGAGGCGGCTGCGCCGCATCTCGACTGATTCTCCGGCGGGTGACAGTAGCGGCGGCGCTGTTGTCCCATGGTACTGAAGATCTCGGCTGCGTCTGCATTGAGAGCGCGTGCCGAAGGTTGCCAAAGTTTGTAATAGCCCGTTTCCAACGCGTTTAACTAGTTTCTGAGCCTTTATCAGTGGGTGAACCTGCTACGCGCCATGGTGCACGAGTAATATGCAGGCACGTCGAAATTGCGTCGATACATTCACTGTTTCAAGAGCCTGCCAACCCACACACACACACAAAAAAATCAATAGGAATTTGCATGTTTCCGTCTAGCTTCTCACTCAAGCAGCGCTTTAAGCTGCGTTACATCATAAGTGGCTACTGGTGAACTACAAAGATAGCAGAAGCATCAAAACCGCGATTAAATTATACACTCGTTTTGTCGGCTGTCTCTACGATATCTGGAGCACAGTGTTCTTCATATGAGCCTACATGCACTCAATTGTATCACGAGAAAACCGAGTATAAGTAACGTTGTTACAACATTTGTATCGGTGATGACTCATTTATATCATGCCGGTTTCGCGGAAGATAATAATTATTGCTTTTCGAAAGGCTTATTACATAGTGAGCATATTAAAAACAACACACAAACATATTAAAAATTCCAATTGTATATATAGGCAGTCTGTTAATCTGCGTAACTTAATCGTAACCAGTTCTCATTTTGTATTGAGAGCTTAAATTGTGTTGCTTTCCAAATATCCTATGGGCGTAATGCCATTAGAAGCCAGCATATTTATGACGATGTTTTGTATTATAGGGGTAGTTCTATTATTAAGCGTCAAAAGTGTTGGCAATGGTGCATCTTGTTTTGAGAAATTTTACTTGTATATGTACACAGTAAACACACACACATGCACGCACACACACACACGTGCACACACACACACACACACACACCACCCTATTACCAATATCTATGCAATGCCCCTTAGCACAGCTTCTACTTTTAGGCGGTGCATTTCTCGTCCAATTATGTTGAACTTGAAGTAGTTTTAAGACGTCCTACTGTCGAAAAGGTGAAATATACAGTGCGATTTGCACAAAGACACCCTATATTCAGCTTCGCCAACTGTAAACCTTCGGCACGAGTCTAGCACTCAGAATTTTTTTTAGTTGGGGGGGGGGGGGAAGGGGTGCAGCAGGACGACTAACTTTGGCAATTGGTGGTCGCTGTGAATGCGTGTAAATATTTTAGTATGCCCTAAAAAGTTAAATGATGAAAAAAATTTGCGGTGTAGGGGGTCCAGGTTTCCTTCCTCTCCCCTCTCTACGAATGGCCTCCTGGTTCTGCTTGCGTTTGAAATGGCATTTTTTTAAATCTCACATCTTTATGAGCACAGCTAACTCCCAATAAATTGGCTCAGTTACTCTGCATATTGTAGACGCCTAACCAACAAAGAAAGAGTCAAGACAGAAGTAATCAGTATAAGACACATTCTTTCTGAATTATTTTTGCTCTCTCACAAGGGCTTTTATGGAGCTCAAATTCAGTAGATTGGCGTGTCATACTTCAAGAGCTATGGCATCGTGTGCGAGACATGAATGATGGGTGAGTACGAATAAATCTGCATCAAGAAAGCGCGACGGAGGAGCCAAAGCACATAGCATTTTCTGCATGCGGCTCTTTCAGTACTATTCGACTGCAGCGTTGCCGCTACGGGCAATGCGGAAGGGATCAGGTGGCGGGGCGCGGTCACGCCACTCAACACTGCTAGTACACTACAACTTGACGGTGCGCAAGAGACAAGACACGTTTACGGATTATTCTCATGCAAAATAAAATGCGGTAACTTGCAGTTCACGTCTTTTTCTTAATTATACTGTGAGCAAATTGTAATGTCAGCGTTTGTAACGATTTCCGAGGCCTGAAATGCTTTTTGTTCATTAAATGTGCACATTTTGTATTTTGAATTATCGATATATCAAACTATTTTGCATTCCCCTTTGAGTACGATATATCCGGGATCCACTGTATTTACTAGAGGGGAACTCTGTTGCTGTCATCATTCAGCCACCTCAGGAATGATGGGTAGTCGATGGATTTGCCTGTTCTTTGTGCGCGGTACTTTGAAAGCACTTGTAGCTTCGTTTCTTGCCGTGTTTTGACGTTTGTTTTGAGAAAAAGAATGGCTTTTGGGAACATTGTCAACTGTTTAAAAGCCGCCAGCTCGAAAGGGTCAAGGGGGTGAGGTCGAACTGCTGAACTTCATCCTGCGACAAGCTGAAAGAATGGAGCTTAGGCGAATTCACGTGCTACCTGTCCTTCCCATGCTGGCTGTAGTGCCATGCGTTGCAGCTCCTGTAAACACTAGTGCCATATTTCCTTTAATGTACTAGTGTGAAACTCTACGGTTAGTCTAGCCTTCATTCCTTTATCTCCCATTTCTGTGCTGATAATCTTTCGGCTGGTTTGATCTTCAGTCACGCATGTCGTTGCAGGCAGTCATAGATCACCTGCGAGCGCAGTCTCACAGCTTCTGCTACGCGGCCAGCATGACTGCTCCGGTGGCGCAGCAGATCATCTCCACCTGCCGCGTCATCATGGGCGAGATGGGGGACGGCGAGGGGCAGCGGCGCATCGAGCGGCTGGCACGAAACACGCACTACTTCAGGCGCCGTCTGCAGCAGATGGGCTTCATCATCTACGGCAACGAGGACTCTCCCGTCGTGCCGCTCATGCTCTACTTGCCTTCCAAAATTGCGTGAGTCTCTTGCATGTGTGGCTTTTTTTTTTTTTAATTGCGCAGGGCTTGCAATTCAGAAGTATGCTCCATCCTGAGCATACTTTATTTCCTCATGTATAAGCTTCGCATAAAATGCTGGAAATTCAGAGCTTCAGATGGAGTGCAAAATAGTTGAAGTGCAATCGAGCAAGAGCTCGTTTTCTTAATTCTACACAGCCTAATAAATTGAACAGAAAGTGAAGCCAAGGAGAGTATATGGGAAATTATTTCTGAAATTATTATTGAAGCATGAGCTTTGGTGTGTCGTGCTGACTTCACGGCAATAGAATGAAGGTCACCCGGTCGATACTGACTCAAAGTGAAGACAGTGGATTGACGCTAGGGACCGAATTTCGGTGACAAAATTTTTGCTATCTTCAAGCGTAGTTATTGAGGTCATTTAAATCAAAGCATATATAATAAGATTGTGCAGCTGGGATGTGTAAGTGATATGCGGGCATCTTCTTTTGAAAATTTTTCTGCGGTTCATAGTTGGGGTTGCGGGCCATGTGCAGGGGCAGGTTATATGACAGGAAACACAGTAAGTGGCTTCGATAAATGGTAGTGCATTGCACGCGCAGTGTGGAGGTTGTGGGCTCGGCCCTCAATGGCGGCAGGGTGTTTTGCCACCTAGTTTTGTTCTCTTTTATCTCGGATTCATTGCACCTTGAATAAAAGTTACAAGGAGTGTGCATTGTGCTTGTACATTGTCTTCGTTCGTTCACCTGTTGGCTTTGTGTGATTGCATCCGCTCATGCTGCCTCTAGGGCGCGCGTCAGTTGTTGAGGACTCGGATCAGTCTTCTTAACTGCATTTGCCAGTTTTGGTGTGATGAGAGTTGTACTTCTTCACATCCTTTTTTTTCTCTTCCGCCTTTTCTTACTTTCTTTACAGGGGCCTCGTGCGTTACCTCATGAAGCGGGGTGTTGCCACCGTCGGAGTCGGCTTCCCTGCGACTCCGCTTCTGGAAGCGCGAGCTCGCTTTTGCATGTCGGCGTCACACACAAAGGAAATGTTGGACCAGGTGAGGCTGCCTTGCGGTGCGACTCGGGAGTAGTGCCGTCAACCTCGTAGCCACAGATGGCCTAATGGGCAGGTAGAAAAGTTGTTTAGAGCCTACACCTCGTCTAAGGATACTGCCCGAGAGAGAGAGAATTAATGGTAGAGAAGCAAAGACAAAAATGTTAACCGTTTTAGGAAAGCTGGTGTGCTACCGGACACGCGGGAAGATTGAAAGAACTCTCTCAAGAAGGCCATAATAAGGCCACCCACCTTGGTGACTAATCAGATACGCATAGTGTAAGCAGGAAAAACTCTGCTCGAGCATATAGAAAAATCTTGGCAAGAGGGCAAGAAATGGATTTTATTTTCAGAAATAGAAACAGCAGGGCACAAACGTGTTAAAAAATAGTGTGAGTGTTCATAGCCAAGTGAGATCAACTTGTACCGTATCACAGAGGCCGTGTGTGTTCATTCCACCCACCGCTTGCCGACTGCTCCATTTATTTTTATAATTAGGTAGTGAATGTATTAGTTGTGAAGGTAGTGACCATTAGTGGTGGCAGAAGCTCTAAGAGCTGCGTAATTCTCTTTCAGGCCCTGAGTGTTATTGACAAGGCAGGTGACTACCTCTACCTGAAGCTGTCCAGAACGAAGAGAAGCACCGAAGAAATAGTCTACTAATCACCGACTGCACACATATAGCTAGGTGGCTGCCGTCAGACCATGCAGCAAAATCAGCGTGACAGCGCCGGGATGTGCAACAATTTCTCACCATGCATGTCTGAAGTTTCCCCACGAAAATCGTGCTGCAAGTGGTGTCAAGGTGCTGCGGTTAAAAGAAAAAAAGAAACTGGGTCCAGTGTTGTTTAGGAAACTTTTCATCAACCTCTCTGACCTGCTATTTCCAGTTAAGCGCGAGACCAAAAAGGAGAAGGAAAAAAAAAACAAAAAGAACTGTGCCTCGGCCTCATTTTATTTTATTTTTTGTACTGTGTTCACCTTGGGGCTTCACATTGTTTCAATTGTATGGGGCAAGTCTTCTCTGCATATTTAGTATGACGCTGATCAAAATGTTGGGTGTGTGTTTATATAAGTGTTCTCTGTATGTTATGTTGCGTGAGCATTTTTTTTTTCTTCCGAGATGGTGATTGATAAACAAAAAAAAAAAAGCCCATTTGCATCGAGGCATCGCAAGCAAATGATTCAATAATGTGTGGCGACGAAAATGCTTGTGTGCGAAAGTCCTGCACAGATTTATCTTGCTTCTGTAGAAATCGGCACTCTGATTTCTATTTTTCAATAAATGCACGACCGTAGTATGGGACAAGCTCCGTTGAAGTGCACGTAAGACGACAAAACCGAAATAGATTGTTTCCGAGGCATAATAAAACGATCGTACTATTTTTATGTATTTCTTATGCGTACGTTGGGGAAACTGAGGGGTCATTAGTATGCAGCTTGCACATTCGTCGTGCACCAAGGTCTCGTATGGACCGGTCGCACAACGAGGAAAAAGAAAAGGTTCGCAGTCATTATCACTGGCGATCGGAGCGCCACAAAACTTGTGTCGTCGATCATGCAATTTGCATGACGTCATAGCGCCGTTTTGCTCTTCCGCGCGCTCGCAATATAGTGCGTCTAGTAAAACGGACTGACAAAATCCACTTCTGGAAAAAAAGACAATCAACGACTATACCAACAATTGGTGAATTAATGGTAGTGCTTAGTACGCTTGACGTGGTTTGATATATACCAGCGTAATGAAATCGCAAATTGAAATGTAGTGCAGCGGAGAGATACAACACAACATTGTATGCTTCCGCGCGCGCTGTAGTGCGATCAGTAAATGGCCAATACTCGAGACTACGTTCATGGATAGCGAAACGACGATTGCTCTGACGGAGGACGATTATGCAGCCGCGCTCGCGTGTTCTACGTAGTTCAGCCATTACTTGCGTAGTTAACATGGAAAGCAAGAGGGCCTACAGCGGAGTAATACAACATCACTGTAATATAGAACGAGCGCAGCTGGTCCGCCATTTCTTTTCCCACATGACTCAATGGTAGGCCGTTCACGTGGGGGAACTAGTTAAATTCTGCGTACGCTACGGCTAAGCACTAAAAAATACAAAAAAAATCTATAAAACTTAAAAACGTAAAAAAAATTGCAAAACTTTGGCAAAACCCTGAACTTGTACTGCGAGTTCAGTCCAAAAAGTTTGTAACTGTCGCTTTGGAGTTAGGGTTAGGCGGATCTCCCCCTTCGATTACGACGAGCTCACCACCACCCTAAACCTGGCAAGATGAACCCCAGCGGCCCCAACTACCCGATGGCTTCTCTCTACGTCGGCGACTTGCACCCGGAGGTCACGGAGGCGATGCTTTTTGAGAAGTTTTCCACGGCGGGTCCCGTGCTTTCGATTAGGGTTTGCAGAGACATGATCACTCGACGATCACTTGGCTACGCATATGTCAACTTCCAGCAGCCCGCCGATGGTGAGTACGCACGTCTTTGTGGCCTCGCAGGCTTCCAAGACACCTGCGTAGGGCTTTACCAGGATGATTAGGTTTAGTGGCGTGTTCGAACGCCTTTGTCTCATCAATGACCCACATATGGATCAGTGGATGCTGTCAAGTTGGCATGGGCAAGTTCTTCGCAGCGCTTGCGCTCGCTTGGGTTAACTAAACGTCTCTCTGGAGTCTGCCGTTGAGTTTGGTCTGCTGGTGTAGCATATCGCGTTCGATCGCGTTAGTGACGGCACGCTATTTCTTTCCGGGTCGCCTGAACCGAGCATTAATATGGTAGGCGCGGGTGGCCATCAAACTGTTAGTGAAGCCCTACCAAACGAGCGACTGAGTCTGCCGTGTGAATATTGTGTGCCGATGTGTGTCCTGTCCAACGTAGGTCTTCGTGTCGCCTTGCTGTCAGAGTTGGTACTAAAGGCCCCCCAAAAGCGCCCAGTTTCACGACGTTTTGTCAACCACACACTTGAGTGTCGTAGCTATGGGAATTTTTAGTGCCAAGACGAAATATTTCGGGTACTCTACACGGGCCCTCTGTCTCGGTTTTCTGCCATAAGTAGTTCGATAAGTGCGTCTTTCGGAATAACCACCCACATCCGATAGCGCAACAAGTAATGACGCAGGATGCGCGTAGCAGAGGAACCGAAGAAAAAAAAAAAAACGGAGTCGTGGTAAAAGCTGCGCTCGAGAAAAATGTCTGGAACTCCCTTATTGCTAAGCAGGGGTTGCAAGTGCATACACACACCATTAGTTTGTCAAACTGATCCTCCCTTGACGGCCATGTTTGATTAGATTAAAATGACGCTGATGGTTTGCAAATGAACTATGCTTGATTAGATCAATGTCGTGCTAAAGGTTTACTCGGGCTAAAGGTTTACTCGGGCACACACTTTGTCGTTTGTTTACAGTCACTGGTGTCTGCAGTCAATATATATAACCTTCATGGACATTGACGCTACGTTGGGTCGTTTGTCTGAGTGGTCACATTTCACTAATTCGGTTTGACGTGATCCAGGTCGCACCTGGAAACTGCGTACCACACGGCTTCTTGGTATCACGACCATGTGTGGCATGCGGTTGCCCTTGGTCTACACTCATGCGTACGTAATCATCTGTGAAATCTTCAGTGAGAATGACAATCTCCAGTGGGGCGATTGCATCTTGCCTTCATACTGGCTCTCTGGTGCTTTCAAAAAATGAACATTTAGTATTTGATCATCTTCGATTATCCGCATATAAAAGGCGATAGTTACGCACACAGTAAAATACAATCTTACATGTTTCACCCAACGAACTGAATTCAGCACAAAATTAGGCCAAAGAGCATAGAGGGCAAAAATGATCTGTAACTGAGGTGTTTTAATTAGTAACTATGATGCAAGTGGGGGAAAAGTCTCCCTTTCTTTTGGTGGGATACGAATATAGCAAGTTGAGAGCCTACCGGCTGAAAGAGTAATTTTTCACATATCAATTTCATTTCAATTTGCATCGTAGTACAACATGACACTTAAAGCCAACAATTGAAGCTCTCTGTGCTTTTCTTGGCATAATTGTCTGTTGTATTTATTTGGTTTTGTCTGACAAGAAATAATTCTCTTGAAAGGAGTAGCCTTTTTTGTTCATTTACAGATGTGACATCATTCTAAACATAATTTACGTACATTTGATTACAGCGGAGCGTGCTCTGGACACAATGAACTTCGACCCTATCAAAAGCAAGCCGATCCGTATCATGTGGTCACAGCGAGATCCATCGCTGCGAAAGTCCGGGGTCGGAAATGTCTTCATCAAGAACCTCGACAAGACTATTGACAACAAGGCCATGTACGACACCTTCTCAGCCTTTGGGAACATCCTGTCTTGTCGCGTGGCCACAGACGAAGAGGCATCCTCAAAGGGATATGGTTTTGTCCATTTCGAGACTGAAGAAGCAGCCAACAAGGCCATCAGCAAAGTGAATGGCATGCTGCTGAACAACAAGAAGGTCTATGTGGGCAAGTTCATCCCCCGCAAGGAGCGCGAGAAGATGCTTGGCGACAAGGCCCGATGCTTCACCAACGTCTACATCAAGAACTTTGGTGACGAGCTCGACGACGAGAAGCTCATGGTCATCTTTGAGAAGTTTGGCAAGATCACTAGCGCCAAGGTGATGACCGATGAGAGCGGCAAAAACCGGGGCTTTGGATTCGTCTCGTTCGAGGATCCCGAGAGTGCTGAGCGCGCCGTGGAGGAGCTCAACGGTAAGGAGATGGGTGGCCGGGTGCTGTACGTGGGGCGTGCCCAGAAGAAGGCCGAGCGCCAGTCCGAGCTAAAGCGCCACTTCGAACAGCTGAAGCAAGAGCGCCTGAACCGCTACCAGGGCGTCAACTTGTACGTCAAAAATTTGGACGATGCCCTAGATGACGAGCGGCTCCGGAAAGAGTTTGCACCTTTCGGCAACATCACCAGTGCCAAGGTGATGACCGACGGCAACGGGCGTTCTAAGGGCTTTGGATTTGTCTGCTTCAGCTCACCGGAAGAGGCGACGAAGGCTGTGACTGAAATGAATGGCCGTATCGTGGTCTCCAAGCCACTTTACGTCGCTCTGGCCCAGCGCAAGGAAGACCGTAAGGCACATCTTGCCTCGCAGTACATGCACCGCATTGCCGGCATGCGTATGCAGATGGGACAGATGTTCCCGCCAGGTGGCGCAGGTGCTGCGGGATACTTTGTGCCCACCATGCCCCACCAGACAGCCCAGCGCAGCTACTTCCCGGCCACCTTGGGACCAGCCCAGATGCGTGCCACCCCTCGCTGGACAGGCCAGCAGCAGCAGCTGCGTGGACCCGGGGGACCCCAGGCGGGGGCCGGTGGACCCCAGGGGGGTCAGCCTCAGGGCGGCTTCCCTACCTCGATGCCCTACCAGCGGCAGCCTCGCCCTTCACTGGGGACACAGCCGCAGCGGGGAGCCCTGGGCAGCGCACGGCCAATCACTGGTGGGCAGCAGGCTCCACCTCCTCAGCAGGCCCCTCCCCAGCAGGCCCCATCGGCGCCCAGGGTGATGGGCCCCCGTCCTGCGGGTCTTGCTCCACAGACGGCTGGTGGTCCACGCCCGACCTACAAGTACACTCAGACCGTGCGCAACCAACCACAGGTCCAGCAAGTCTCTGCACCCATTGCCGCTTCATTCCAGGTGGGCTAAGTTCATTGTTACAGGGGGTATGCACTTGGCTATCGTTGAGGTTGCCATCTAGAGGTCGGCACGCTCTTTACATGTGCAAGAAACTCTCTACACGTGTTGTGTCTGAGATTCACACAGCAACTTGGTTCTCTAGAGACCTCCGGAACACCTCCTGCTTACCTAAGCACAGATGGCAAGTATGGACGGGCTGTGAAAATGGCGCGGAGACGGTGTTGTCCCCTTGCGGGTCAAGGCTCAGTGCATACCCCGTATATGGTGTATATTGTGTGGTTATTGAGCATCCAGAGGTAGTGCCTGTTTGGGAAAAACTAAGTGCAATTGTCGTGAAGCAATATGCTGATAGTTTCTGCCAACCAATGTCCTCTTGAACATGTCTAATACTAGCCTGGTGAGAAGCTGCGTCAGTTTGCATCTTGCATGCTTCTTCACGATACTTGGTTGGGGTTAATGTACAGACGGTGCTGT